AAGAGATTGATATAATTATGTTTATTGTTTACAAGCAATACTATATACAGTATTTGCATTAAGAATTTGTTCTATAATCTATACAACAATATATTAATAAATGGGATGAAAATTAACTAATTAATAAGTAATTGCTGATTAATAAGTGAAATCTTCTTCTTTATACACTTCTAAATTACTAATTAATAACTTTATCATACTCATTTAGTACGTGTATTTGTATATTTATATTATTTTGTAATCTTTCATATTTATTTTTGATAATCAAGTTTTATATATTACCTTTAAATTTTTTAATTTTCTAAAAGTTTCATCAAATCTTGGCTATTTCAAATCAAATTTAGCAATAAGAGATATTTATATAATTGCTTTTTGCATAATGATATTAGGGTCAATTATCAAATTTCTATTCAAACTAGAAAACAGAATCCCAAAAATATGCAATTTTGTTGGCTTGCAGTCATGAGAAATACCCGTGATCACAAAATTTTCACAATAAGAAGAATTATATTTTCCTTCATTTCACTCCAGACAATAATATTAATCACCAAAATTATCATTAAAAACCATACATATCCTTAATGGATCCAAAAACTACAATACAGATTCTTGAACGAATACTTAAGAGTTAATTATTTTTCATTCAAAAATGATTATTTTATTTTAATATATATTAAATTGCATTGGATAGTATAACACTATAGAATATACATATTTACATTTAACGAAAACATCTTTTCTTAATCCAATTAAATTCTTCTGATTCATTATACCAATTAATTTCCCAATCAATTTTTTTGACTATTCCTTTTGCTTCATAATATTCAATTAGTTCATATAATCGGTTAACTTCCTTTTCATGTCCTAGAATATAATTTACTGGCCAGATTTGTAATAGCATAGTATGTCTACCTTTCCAATTTGCAAGAAATGATCTTAATAATTTATACTTAGCCCCAAACTTTCGGTTAAAAGTAAATCCAAACTTAATCAAACTACTTGGTGATGATTTAGTTAATATTTTAAATAAATTCTTATATTGGAGACCTCTTTCAACCTTAATAACTAACTCAAATAAATGTTGACAATTAATTAATAACCTTTCAAATTCAATAAGAACATAATCTTTAATCGGAAGGCTTAAATATTTAATATTTGGACAATTTTGATAGATTGTTTGGAAAAGTCTTCTAACATCATCAACCTCATAAAAAACATCATCAAAATGAATATTAATTACAGTAAGTTGTACATTTGCACTTACAATTAATCTTGTCAACATCATAAATGACACTTCTTTAGTTTTTAGGATTTTTAAAGCAGGTAAAGATATTTTCTCTGATTGATTTAAATTTAGAATAGTACTGTTTGAATTTGGAGGCCCAAAAGATTCAATTATTTCTAAACTTTTTAAATTTACAAAATGTGAAAAAAATTTTAAATCAACATAAAAATTCCAATTATAAGATAAATATAAATTTTGGATAGTAATCGCTTTTTTAATTAGTACTTCTTCAATAGATTGCCAGCAGGTTTCATATTGATAACATTTACTAATACGGACACTATCTAGATTTTTTTGATCTTCAATTAATCTAATGATTCCAGAAATATTACAACCCATAACATCACAATTGAATATTTTAATCGATTTGCTTATTGTAGCTAATTCTTTTAGAATATTTTGATCAATATTATTACAAAAATAAAAGAATTTAAGATTTGAAAAGCATTGTTTATTCCAGTTTACTTGACATTTATAATCATATGGAAAAAAAAGTGAAATAAAATTTGTATTATTATTAACAAATAATTTTAATAATTCATTTCTCATCATAGATATGTCTGACTTATCAAAATTTCTGGAAATCATTCTGTCTAGAAGTTGTAGATCTAAATGTCTCCAAAAATAAATATAATTAAATGAAGGTGTCTGATAAATTTCAGCAAAAAGATCGATCCCTTGTTTCATCAAATTATCTCTAGATTCTTCTGAAAAATGCGAAAGTATTACATTAAATATTATATTTTCTGCCTTTTCAGTTAAAATAGCTTGTCTAGGAATTTTCCATAATATTGGTACTATTGCTTCCCTATGAAAAAAGTCTGTGTGATTTTTGTTGAAAAATCATTCAATTAAATTCACTACGATTTCTGTATATTTGACCATACAATAATTGTGCTAAAAATTGCAATAAATCACACAATTATTGCATGGTAATTCATTCAATAATTATCCTATTTTTGACCTGAATTTATACAATTATTGTGTGATTTCTGAGCCAAATTTTAGGCCATATTTTAGGAATTATAGGTTAAATTTTACAGTAATAACAGGCAATTTATAAAGTGAAATTATGAATTTTTATTGACTTAAAATATAAAAAATATACACAATATTTCATAAATAAAATACTAAATTTGATATAATTATAAATATAAAAATTTGTAAGAAAATAAAATAAAATAAAGTATGTTAGTAACATGAAAGTAAATTAGTAGTATCAAAGAAGAAAGTAAATTATTAGTGTAAGTAAATTATTAGTAATAAATAAAAAAGTATGAAGTTAGTGAAGAAAGCAAATTAGTAGTGTTAAAAAGTAAATTATTAGTGTTAGTAATAAAAAAGTATGAAGTTAGTGAAGAAAGCAAATTAGTGTGTTAAAAAGTAAATTATTAGTGTTAGTAAAAAAAAAAAAGTATGAAGTTAGTGAAGAAAGCAAGTTAGTAACATTAAAATGTAAAAAGTTAGGAAAATAAAAAGATAAAGAACACAAGTTTTTCTTACCTGATATTTTAAAAGAAAGTTGAAGAAAAGTTAAAAGGTTAAAAAAACATAAACAAAAACATTTCGCGTCATCATATTTATTTTGACGATCAGATCACGTGATAAACATATATAATTTAAGAGTTAATTTTTACCGCATAATTCTGGCCAAATTATAATTCCAGTCAAAACTAATTGTGTAACCTAATAAAAAGTTTTTGACTTTTTTTTAGTTACAAGATGATACAAAAATTTCACCAATGGGTCCGAAAGATGCCCGTTTATAAGCAAATATGCAGTTGAAATTTGTGTAACCTTACTGCATAAATCACTTTACTTAGGAAAATCTATTTGTAATGGTTAAAAGTGGTCTATTTGACCCTAAAAGTGGTCAAATGTAACCATACAGGTAAGATGGAAAGAAGTATAGTAGGATTACTCAAAAATTGCTTTCTGTATCCTAAATTTAAGACTATTTTCAAGTTGTACAATAATCACAATTTTTATTGTACAAAAATTGAATGTTTTCTGTATCCTAAATTTAAGTTGTATAAAGATCACACAAAAATTGAACATTTTCTATATTCTAAATTTAAGTTGTACAAAAATTGCATACTTTTAATATGCTTTGAAAAACTTCATAGCTATTTTTATCCAAAAATCTGCAATAATTGTACAATTTCCACACGGACTTGAACAAATATAGTACAAAAATTGGATGATTTTTTTTCATAGGGCTTCACACCAAGATCTGTTGACTAAAAGACAAGAATAAAGTGATATTCTGTCATTTTGAAATTTTTCTGAGATCATTAAAAGTAAATCTCTGTTGAGTTTCATAATTATTTTTCAAATAAGTGTAAGGAGTAAGCGCAATTTTATATTGTAACTTGGAAGAAGATCAGGATGATATATACGATCAGTGTATTTTAATTTATATGAAGATTGACAATAATAATTGAAAGTATTGTATTGTAACTGATTGATAATCTTTATTTTTATGCTCATAATGTCCAACGGAAAATGTAAAATTGTAACATGACTCATCATGGACAATATATTAGTTGTCATGATTACATCATATAAGTAGGTTGAAAGCATTGAATTAATTATACGATGAGACAATAATTAAAAGGGGATAAAATCAAATTTTATTGCTTTTTCTTTTAGTCAGTATTTTCTCTTTTCTTTAGGTCAGTTAGGTCGATTTTCTCTTTAGGTCAGTCTTTTCTCTATTCTTTAGGTCAAATAGATAAATATCATTTTATGTTCTTACAAGTAAGAGAAAGGATGTGTACATGGCTCCGTTTGCTAATACGGTTCAAGGGTTTTATGAGAGAAATATCAAGAATAGAGGCGGTTACATTAGCACATTAGATGATATTGGTATATGGGTAGACAGTAATGCGGAGTAGCGGGGAAGGAACTGCCTGCTTCTCTATCATTTAGCCGGTCAGTCCTTTCTCATTTATTACCTAAAAATCTTTACTTTGACTTTTAAAACGTGTATGTGTTTAATATCGATTTAACGCTTTTAATATGCTTTATTTTAATGTAAGTTTAAACAATGTTAAAATTTTATTTTTATTCATAATAAACAGTAAGTTAGATTGACGAATTTTTCACATTAACCTCTTCTACTAAATTAATTTGTTTTATACTAATTAAGATGGAATTATAGCGATATAAATTTTTTTCAGCATCACAAAATGATGGTATTTTCCATAATGAGAATACATTACTCATGCACATGATGACTTCATGTAGAACGTGTCCACAATATTTGTATTTTAAACGTCGCTTCTTATCATACTTTCATGAGGTTAAAGATGACATTAGATTATTCTTTCAATAAATTCGTGTATAACGAATGGAATGATCTGTCATGATTTTACAATGTTTATGACATAAATTTATGATAAGATACTTAATTTTCGCCTAAATCAATATACGGTAGTAAGTATTTTTATAATTCGGATAAATTTATTAAAATTATTTAGATTACAAACTAAGAATTTTGTAAAACATTTACTACTCTAGCCTTAGTGTTTAAATAATCTAAGATAAATAAATAAATGATAATAATTTAAAATACAAAAAAAAAAAATATTGTGTATATATATATACATAATTTGATTTATCAAAAGTCAATTTTAAAATCCATCTAAAGATAAAAAAATAACAAATTATAAATTAATTCTTTGCTTTATTAAGAAATTTATTTTTTTAAAACTTACCATCAGGAATTTCCAGTTCATCTTGTTCTTTTGAATGGAGATTTGGATTATTATATACTTCGTCATCATCTGTAAGAGATACTGCAAGTAAATAGAATTAAAATAGTATTAAAATTGTTAATTGTTTGTTATTACATAAAATTTTCGCCTACCATCAACATGTTGTTGAGTTATTTCTTTTTCATCATCTAAATTTTAAATAAAAGTCACGTTTAATAAATGAAATTGGTATAGCAATTTTATTTGTTAGTAATTTACTTACCATTTGAATTTATTTGCAACTTTTTAAATAATTTAGATAATTTTTTACGACTATCTAAAAATTTAAGATATAGAATTAATATATAAATTAATCTCTATTTGACAATAATTAAAATATATTACCTCTAAAAAGAGTAATTACTTTTGATGATTTGTTGCTATTCCGCTCATTTGATTTATTAAAATCGTCAACTAAAATGAAAAATCAATTATTAAATATAATTATACGATAATTCAACACTTGTAATGTTAATAAATACTTACTATTGTTAGGAATGTTAAAATCATACAATTTACTATGAAACGCTATTAGTAATAAAATAAAGTAAATTATTATAGTAACTAAAAAAAATGGTAGAAATTATTATTTATACGGGTATACCTTCTTGTTCTTCTATTATAATAAAAAAGATAACATTAATATTATAATTTAAAATAAATACACTTTATTAATAAGATATTATACACTTATACCTTCTGTTGCATTTCTTGGTTCAGATAGATTTCCAAAGTTGTGAATTTTACTTGTAAATGATCTGCTACTTGTATAATTTTCTTCTACTTTATTCATTTCCAAATTATCTATTTCTGATTTGATTAATTCATCTGACATATTTTGATAATATAAAATAGTCTTTTGTATTTTATTACAAAGTGTATTAGCGCCAGGTCTTTTTAATGAATTAGCATTCCAACATTCTTTCATTAACTTTTTATATTTTAATGGAGTTCCTGGCACAATTTTTGGCCTTATACCATAAATGATATTTATTACAATATCATTTTCATGTTCATAATTTATAAATGGTGGTTGTCCAGATGAAATTTCCCACATAAGAATTGCAATACTATAAATATCAGATGCAAAAGTATATTCTCTTCCAACAATAACTTCAGGTGCTATATAAGGAAGATTTCCATATATACTTGTTGAAGATTTATCAGCAGGTCCACAAAATCCAAGATCACTAATATACCATCGATCATTAAATTGCGAATATAATATATTTCCAGAATGTAAATCTCTATGAATTGCTTTCTCTTTATGAATATAATAAAGTGCAAGAGTTATATCACCAATAATTTTCATTCTATCTTTCCATGTAAGTTTATTATGATTTTGTTGTAAATATTTTCTTAAATCTATATCCAGTTTCATCATTACAAGCATATAATTTCCATTTGATGGATTTTGTGTTAAACCATAACATCGAACAACATCTGCCCATTTATTACTTATAGTTAAATGTGATTTAGCCTAAAAGACAATAAATTGTAAAAATACTAGTGCTAATACAAAAAATTGCACTAATTTTATAAAATATAGAATATAATTATACAAACCTCTTCAAACCAACTTTGATTTGCACTTTCAACATTTTCTAACGTTTTAAGTATTACGCTTTGATTTCCAAATCTTTCTAATTGTTTTTTTCCAAAATCCCATTCTTCATAACTTCCATTAATCCAATCTGCTGTATAAATTTCTGAGAATCCACCTTTTGTTAAATATTTAATACTTTTTAAATTACTATATGGGATCCATTCAATTATTACATTTGGCATAAGTGTTTCCAATTGACATTTCTGTATTAAATTATCAATATCATTATTTCCAGATGTCCAATTTGAAAAATTTTCTTTTAAATAATTTCGAACACAATATTCACAATATAATGTAGCTAAACATTTTAGGTTACAATTTTCACAAATTCTTCTTGCACCATCATTATTCATAACTTTATTTCGATCATAATTTTTAGTTAAGAATCTTATTGCATAAGTTTTTTCATCAACTCTGTGATAAAATAGTAAAATGCAATGTTGATCAAACTTCATGTTGAATTATGTGATCTTGAGGCGTAGTATTTTACGCCAGTTTTACGTTTCATAACCAAAAAAAGAAAAATATTACTACCATTTACTTTCTAATTTTTTTTTTATATTTAGTATAATAATTTAAAATAATAATTTACTCTTTTTTTTTTATTTTTATTTTATTTTTATTTTTATTTTTTTCAGCGATTACGATTTGTATTTAACAAATTTGATTTTCATATTAAATGAATAGATAAGTATATTGATTAATATTAAATAATTTGATAAACAAAAATCAATGATTGTTATTCAATAGATTATTAATTTGTAGTTATTTTAAATCTTATTTAAATATCAATATAAACATGATTTATAAAAGTCAATCTTCTTTAGTTATTTTCAATTGAATTTATTTTAAATAAACAACGTGATGAATAATGGACATGAATGATTGTAAGAAACCATTCAATTTATTATTTCTACTAAAAAGTCCATAACTAAGCAAAGAATTTTTGTAGAATTATAATTACTTTTTTTTTTTAATGGATCGTAAATATAGGTTTGAATAAAATATATGGCTTTAATAAAAAGATGTCATGGGTTTTCATGTTACAGTGTTACACGATTCAAATTATTTATATCTGATATAGAGACTATTCTAAACGTCATACAAATTTTTTTTTAGTTATATAGATTGTTAAACTTGTACGATACCCAAGGCGTTGCCGATCATTTATGATCACATGATATCATAAATTTCATTTTCTTTTTTTTTTTGAATAAACGCGACGTAAACTTTATGTACTTGTTATAGAAATTTTTAATGCTCTATAACTTTACTTATAAGACTAAAAAGGTTTAGAATACTAATTTTGACTTTTACATATAACATAATATGGGGTGCGTTGCTATGGACCTGCGTATAAAATTTAAACCCTATATACAGTATATATATGATTTGATTTATCAAAAGTCAATTTAAAATCCATTTAAAGATAAAAAATAACAAATTATAAATTAATTATTTGCTTTATAAAGAAATTTATCTTTTTTAAGAGCTTACCATCAGGAATTTCCAGTTCATCTTGTTCTTTTGAATGAAGATTTGAATTATTATATACTTCGTCATCATCTGTAAGATAAGTAAATAGAATTAAAATAGTATTAAAATTGTTAATTGTTCGTTATTACGTAAAATTTTCACCTACCATCGACATGTTGTTGAGTTATTTCTTTTTCATCATTTAAATAACAGTCGAGTTTAATAATGTCAAACTTAAACTTTTATTAAAATTAGTCATTTTTTTTCTCATTTCTCGAACTCGAACTACTACTAAAGTACTAAGATATATTTGACAAATCAAAATATTATTAATTTAGTGTTTCTTTTTTTTTTTTGTAGGAATACCTGTTAGGACAAACCAGTCTTGGAGGTAAAAAATTTTTATTTTATTTTATTTATTATAGTAACGTATTAACGTTTCACTTCTATTATTATTTTTGTAGGAATACCGGACTTTAAGGTAAAGAAGTAGAGAAGGCATTAGTTAATTCTTTAAGAAATGTTTAAAAGTGTGCCTTTAGATATAAAAGTTGTTTTGAATTTGAATCACGATCAATAATTTGAATCTTGTGTAACATCTAGATCTATAGAACATTTCATTTGTTTTTATATTTAACATATTCTTTAACACTATGGCAAAAGCTTTTAGTGAGGAGGATTTGAAATGACGAATTATATATCTGTGTGATGAAGGTTTTTCTGTAAAAGATTATTGTATATAAGCGAAAAAAACAAAAAAAAAGTGCAAAACACAATTTTGAATTGTTGATATATAAACTATTATTTACTTTGGAATAATGTCAAAAGATTTAGGAGAAAAAGTACTGGGATGAAAAAAATTTTTTTTAATAAATGGCATTAAAAACGGGAAATTTTGTTTCAATTACAACATCTTTGATATATTGTGGAATTACTACATGAAAACAGTTAGTTTATTTATTCTATATTTTAACAATTACTCTTTTAAAGCTAGAAAAAGCTGCAAAGAAATGATATTTTGTGTAGATATTATATTATGAACTTCAGAATGTATTTTCAATCTGAACGGTTAATCTTTGTTGATGAAAGTGCAAAAGATGAAAAGATGAAAGAACTTCTTATCGCCCAATATATAACCATTCATCACGAAATCAAGCAGCTATTAAAAAAGTTGTATTCCCTATACTTCCAGAATTATCTTTAGGGATGCATTTATTTCACCGAATATCGTCACACTGAAAATCAATCCACTTACAGTTATTTTACGGACAGGATTATTTCACCTACAATTGTTTCATCAACAGTAATTTCACCTTTCATTGACAGGTTATATCACGAGGTTATATCACGGAATAATAAAGATATTGTACATTATTACAACTCAATTTTACATTTGGTTAATGATCCAATCCAAAGCCGATCTTATAGAAAAGAAAAATTGAAAAACAGTTAGTAAACTATTTTTAAATAAAAGGCCAAGTTTAAAAGAGTCAGCTTTCACATAACCATACGACCATACTCACTCCTCCAAAGAACGAACCTCCAAAATTATTAAAGTAACCTGATTCTTTAATTAAAATAGACTTAAAGTTTTGAAAAAAATCCAGGTCAAAGTTACCTATTAACCATCCAAGTTGACCTACAAAAGAAAAATCCAGAGCCGAAAGAGAAAATCTAGGCCTACAAAAAAAAAGACCCTTTTCCAATATTAAGTTTGTCAAAACTAAAAAAGACCAAAGGAAACATTAGTAAGAGTTTCCTAATATAAAAAAAAAAAATATTATTAAGTTTCGTAATGAAACGAAATGCTACAAAACTTACAAATCCGTTCTGAACTCTCTGGTCCTACAAAAAGGATGAAGGAAACGTTTAAAAAATGTTTTCTAATAAAAAATTAAAAAAAAAATTAAAGTTTCATGATTCACTTCGAAACTTGCTATATCCAAGATCCCAAAATTGAACATTCCGAAGGTCCTACACAAAAAAAATATAGGAAACGTTAGAAACGTTTCCTAAAAAGAAATTTAAAAAAGATATTTTTGTTTTTTTTAGACTTACCAAACACGCCTACAAAAATATATAGGAAACATTAGTAATGTTTCCTAAAAAGAAGAAATTAGAAAAAAATTTTTCCATTTTACTTAAAAACTAAGTTACACAAATTTACACACACCACTATTATTTACATTATCGTATCTTTTCATATAATGGCATCTAAAGCCAGAACCAGCGGTAGCCTCTAAATAAGAGAGTGGGTTCCCTAGAAATGTTAGCTAATGTATGGTCAGTAAAACTGAGTACATCATCAATATCACGAGTGCTTTTAATGTCTGCAATGTCTACAAGGTCAAGACCTACATGGTAGACAAGGTGAAACGAAATTTATGATAAACACGTAAAGATACAAATGATAAGACTACCTCCAACGCAAACGCCGCTGGTTGCCGCTACGTAAATACGCCAAAGATGTGTCATAC